TATCAATTAAATGGGCAAAGCATTGACTAAATCGCTAACATGTTCCATAATTCATTCACTCATTTATTCACTCATTATTATTGAGACAGTGATTTAGGTCATATTATTGGTCATACTTTGGGTTTAATGAACAACGGTTGAATGGGATAGCCTCTGTCCTCAGATAACTTATAATATAAACTTGGCCAGAGAAACATAAGAGAAAACATAAATGGATATAAAATGAGGTAATTTTAAAAATAAATGCAGTATGGCGAGAGGAAAAAAAACAAATAAGACAGAGTTGGGGAGACGTGAGCTTTGAATTCAGTTCCAGACTTTAAGTTTTTGTGCCTTTTAAATTTCTAGCCACTAGTTTTTGGCAGACTCATCTCTTTAAACTTCAGCGTTCATACCTTTTCATCAAAGGTGGGAAAGAAAACTGACCACAAATATTTATTTGGCTGATTAAAGTAAAGAAAGCACTTAGCATCAGTTCTGATATATGCACCCACTTAATAAGTTGGAGTTGACATCATTGCCATGACCTCTAAGCTTCAACTTAGATTAATTCTGAACATCATAGTTTAAGGGGAAATCTTTTTAATCATACAGACAATAAAAAGTAGGTTTAAAATGAGATTTTATTGAGTTCTACAAACATGCCAGCAATGTCAGTCAACAAGTTTTTCTAGATACCTTCTATGTGGCTGACTCCATCTGATACATTCAAAAATATAAATGAATGCAAAAACACGAATGAATTTCTAATTAAAAGAGGTTATAAAATGCAAGGGACTCATTGTTACAAAATGATACCAAAGTAATTTTACAGAATATTATTGCAAAATTCATGATAACCGATTCACTATCAATAGCTATCAAAGTATGAAGTAAAGGTTTCACAGAAAGGTAGCATATAACTCTTGAATTTTTTAAAGATTTATTTATTTTTTAAAGATTATTTATGCATACAAGAACTGGGGTATAGGACAGATGTCAGGGTCTTGAGAAGATTCACCAGAGACAGAGTGTGGAGCAGAACAGGTGGATCTACTAAAATAAACTGCTAAGGGGAGCAGCAGGCAAGTCAGTAGAGGTCTACTGAGCCATGGTAGCTCCCTGGCCCGGGATCAAACCCAGGCCGTGGCTGCCAATAGCGTGATAGCTGTCTTTAACCGCTGAGCCACCAGAGAGGCCCCAACTTTTGAATTATTAAGAGAAAAGCAAATGGGAATTATTTGGTGAAAATGAAACAATTCCATAAAATATTAAGGCAAACAGAAGCAAGTTTGCGCCTACAAATGTTTTTGGATAATTGGAGGGTAAGAGAGAAGGGAAGAACAAGGGACGTGGCTGGAAAGACAACTAGAGGCCAGGTCCTGAGCTGGGAGCATTGGTGTGACCCCAGTAATATTCAGCATGGCTCTTGCTTTTGAGCCATATGGTGCCAATTACCATTGCCCCTAAAACAGGCCATCTGTCGCTTTCTTAGACTGCTCACATCTCCAGCATAATCTCTGTCTCTTAAGTCCTATCTCCCCCAACTTTTCCCTCCCTTTTCTTCTTTCTTTCACAGAAACCCCATTTTCTTAATTTTCACTCACTTCTTCGGTATCTACTCTAGATTCCTTATGTCTTCCTCCATAGTTGCTTTCTTTCAAAAGGTAGTTTTTTCCCCCACAGAAAATGGTTTTCAAGAAAATAATAACAACCACAAAAATAATAACAAACAGGAGTAGTGTCCACTTTCCAGTTACTTCCTCATGTATATTCACTGGATCTTAAAAACGACTGTGAGTATGATACTATTTTCTGCTGGGTTTGTATACTGAACCACATACTTCACCACAGAGACGTTAATTACTCAATAAAAGTTACAAAGTCAGCAAATGACAGAGGCTGATTTAAACCTAGGTTATCTGGTTCCCTAGTCTTTGATCTTGTACTCCTTAAATTACTTTTATTTCTCCTTGAACTACTTTTCTATAAGGTTAAAAACTCAAGAGTTTGAAGCATAGTCTTTATCACTGGGATGGTGAAAAGTTCCCTGATGATGATCTGCACTAGTTCAAATTATTTTTTTTAACAAAACTCCTTATAAAAATACACAAGCATAGCATCAAGTTCTTAAAGGAACCACACATTATTTCACAAGTTCACAGTTACATGACAAACTTTATTACTTTTCTAATTAATCCTAACAGATGACTATTACCAAGAGCCTGAAGATAAATTTTAGCAGCCAAACAGTCCATACTGTATCTTCTGGATTTGCTTCTACTATGAATGTGATGTCAATTCTTTGTGCAAGTGTGACTGTATCTGAGGTCCACCCTATCCACCATATTTTAAAATGTATTCTAGTACTCTCAATTTTCATGGTCCTGCTTTCATTTTTATAGCATGTATTTCTTTCTATTTTACCTTTATTATGTTTACTGCTTATTGAATGCCCTTCACAACCCTTACACTTTAGGATTTTAGCATTATGAGCACAGAACGAATCTTTTTTTTAAATGGAAAATTTTAATTTGAGAATTGAAATAGCAAACCAGAGAGCAGTATTAGTGGTTTTAAAACCAGGCATGTTAGGTTTCTTCTGCCTCCAGTTCCATTGCTTTTTAAAGTATTGAAAGTTTCTACTATTGTATTTAAGAGTATAAAAAGTGGTGATAGTGGCTTACAACATCATATCAGTTTCAGGGATACATTGTTAAAAATTAACATTTGTATACATTAAATTGTGGAAAGTATTTTTTTATATTAAAGTAATATTGGTTTGTATTGTTGTTTGTATTTTGGAATTATAGGGTCCACCCCCCTTCCCAGGCTATTACCATAGTGCACCCACCACCAGAGCACGCACAGTCACTACCATACATCACTGGGCTCCTTCCCCACTCTGTCATAGAACAAATATTTACCTGATTTTTTTCTGGTGTGTGTTAAACTCTGAGATGAATGTCTATCACATGGTTGGTGCAATGAAAACCTATCACCAGGAACCCAAGTTAAGCAAGGTGAGAAAGAAAGTGCCACCTCAAAGTGGAAAAAGATAAATGCCAACTAAGCAAAGAGTGAAAAAGATCCATATCTGACTAATGTTTACATTTGAACTGTTAATCCTTATAGCCCTTATTTTATTTCATTACACTATGAATGTTTTTTATGTTAATCAGTATACTTCTGACTCATAATTGTTTTAATTTTTGCAATTAAATTTTGGAGGAAATGAAATTAAATTTTGTAATTAAAATTTTAATTTAATTTTGTAGGGGATGGAAAAAGTTTTCCTCAACTCTCTATTAGTGATTTTAAATGTATCTCCCTTATAACTAGAAGTAGAACATCCTTTTGAAATTTACTAGAAATCCGTGTAAACTTCTTTTGCAAAATCCCTATGTAAGCCAGTCCTTCTATGTGGTGATGTTCCTTTTTCTTACCAATTTACAGGAGTCCTCTCTATAATTCATAATCAAGTCATTTGGTCCACCTAGTCTCTCTGTTAATGGTATATTTGATGAAAACAGTTCATAATTTTAATGTGAGTGTTTGATAAATTTCCAATATTGTTTGCATGAATACGTTTGTACTTGAGTGTTATTTTAAAATCCTTCCTTATTCCGAGGTTGTAAAGAATCTGTATTGTTTTTCTCCTCAAATTTACACCAAAGATACACTTGGGAAATTTTTTTTGTATTAAGGAAGACAAATTTCAAGAATCATTACTCCAATTTCCCCAGGTGTCTAGAACCAAAATATATATAAAATTGGTTACAAAAATTGCCTAATTCACAGTTTACTTACATCAAAAGTCGATTGTTAAGAGTAATGACATGAAAGAATTTACTTAATAAGTAGGCATGTTAATGTAAGTAAATTATTTAAGATAGTATAGGTTGAGTTCATGTTATTATTATTAGTTCGAGAACCCTGTCACCAAAATTATGTATTATTCTTAAAAACAAACACATGCACTCATTCTGGAAGGACCGGAGTACACTGCTTCTGCGCGCCATGTAGCCGGGGATCGAGCCTGCGCCGCAGAAGCTTCGCAACTCAACCGCTGTTATGTATTATTCTTAAAAACAAACTTCATTCTGTTGCTTTCATATTTACTCTGGTGATTCAGAAACTGGTACAAAAACTCCCTGACCTAATAATCTACCTCCCACTAACACCTGGATTTTCAGATGAATCATTTAACCATCCTAAGACTCAAACCTTCATCTAAAAACTTGGGAGTATAGTGACTTTATGGAGCTACCTTGATCAAACAATACAAATATAATCTCGTGGCAAGAACTAACCCTTGAAAACTGACTGCGGAATGCGGGCAACCAGAGAAGGGGAGCAGGGGGAGGGGAGGGACGAGAAAAAAGAGCAGGAGAATGCAAGGGCCCATGGGGCTGGACTATGGGTTCTGTGGTGGTGGGCGCAGTGTGGCAACATTGCTGAAGGGGTCATCCTACGCTTCTATAAAGAAAACAACAATGTAACCCAATATTAACCTAATATTAAATATTTTTAAAATATTAAAAAACAAATATAAAGTTTTTGTAAATGATGCAATCTTTACAAATGATATCATCATCAATAAAATTACCTTTAAATTCAAAAGATTATATAGAAAGTAATGTCATTACTGCTAATATTCACCTCTGCTCCCTGCATTCAATACTTATAGATTATACACCCATTCTAATGAGCATATGAGAAAATAAGAACTGGAAGATTTTTTAAAGAAAACGAAAATGTAGTCCAATATTAACCCAATATTAAATATTTTAAAAATATTAACAAACAAATATAAAGTTTTTGGAAATGATCAATCCTCACAAATTATAATGTCATCATCAATAAAATTATTACCCTTAAATTCAGAACATTATATATAAAGAAATGTCATTAGTTAATATTCACCTCTGCTCCATGCATTCAATATTTATAGATTATACACCCCTTCTATTGAGCATATAAGAAAATAAGAACTGGAAGACTTTCTAAACTACCAACAGTTAACCATCTTTTTTTAAAAAAATCCTCAAAACTCGCTCCCTAATCTGTTTTGTCCTGACTCCATAGATTACAGGATTGAGGGCTGGTGGAACAACCACGTATAAATTAGCTAAGAGGATATGTATGTACTGAGGAACATTGTGTCCAAAACGGTGTGTCAAGAAAGAGAAAAAGGCTGGTGTAAAAAAGGCTAAGATCACACCAATGTGGGAGCCACAGGTGCTGAGGGCTTTGAACCGGGCCTCCCAGGAGGGCAGGCAAAAGACAGCGTAGAGAATCCTGACATAGGAAAGAAAAATAAGGAGCACATCTAGTAATAAGAGAGAAATGTTACCAAGGCCAAACAGAATATTCACCCTGATGCTGGCACAGGCCAGACGGGCAATGCCCATGTGCTCACAGTAGGTATGAGGGATGACATGATGCCCACAGAAGGGCAGCCTCAGGAGTAGAAACACCAGTGGGACCACCATGTACAAGCTCCGCAGAATGGCCACTCCTGCAATGACACTGATCATCTTGCTGCTGAGGATCACCGTGTATCGAAGAGGTTTACAAATGGCAATGTAACGGTCAAAGGCCATGGCCACCAACACAATGCTCTCCATGGCAGTGAAGAAATGGATGAAGAACATCTGGGAAAGACAGCTTTCAAACCAAATATCCCTTAAGTTGAACCAGAAGATGCCCAGCATTTTGGGGATGGTGGCTGTGGATAAGCCCAAGTCAATAGAGTCCAACATGGCCAGGAAGTAGTACATGGGCTCGTGGAGACTACGTTCAGTCTGGATGACGAACAAGACAAGACTATTGCCCAGGAGTGCAACAACATACACAAAGAAAAAGGGGAATCCAATCCAGACATGCATACCTTCCAGGCCTGGGATACCCAAGAGGAGGAATGAAGAAGGATGGAACTGGGTTTCGTTAGGTGAAGACATTCTTTCTGCCACAGTCAGCTGTTGTGGGGAGCGGTGACTACTGCCTTCCCATCAGTGACACTTGCTCCATCTCTCTTTGTTCAGATTCCTGGTAAAATGCACATTAACGCTTTAAACTTCCTTGGTCTTATTTAAACACAGAAGTTTAATAGTGATTGTAGCCCATGTTATTATATTATGTTCTTCAAAATTGCTAGGAGACTAATTCTAATTTTTTTTTAAGATTTTTTAATTTTTTTTATTTATGCATACAAGAACTGGGGTACAGGCCAGAGGTGTGGGGGGTGAGACGATTCCCCAGAGACAGAGTGGGGAAAAGAACAGGCAGATTGACTGAAACACACTGCTGAGGGGATCAGAGGGTGAGGCAGGAGAGGTCTGCTGTGCCATGTGTGTAGCTCCCTGGCTGGGGATCGAACTTGTGCTGCAGATGCTGCCGATAGCTTCATAGGTTGTGTCTTAACCCCTTGTGCCACCAGGGAGGACCTCTAAATTTTTTCACTACAACAAAGAACTGATTATTATATAATAAGATGAAAATGGTAGCTAACATGTGGTGGTAATCATATTGCAATATCTCATAAAGAACATAAAGGTGACCTGTTAGCACATAAAAATGCCCATCCTCTTAATCTTTTGGTTTTTTGGTCACTCTTGGGAATACACATAGGAGAAATTTAGAGCATAAAATATGAGTGCATCCAAAAGAATTAACTTACTCTCTTATTTTTGTGGATTTTTTAAGAAGGCTTGAAAACTGACATTATCTTACATCTGAGACATCATTTCCAAGTATGTAAACATTGCTCAGAGCACCTAATCACCTAATCGGCACTCAATGTAACTGCTTATTATATAAACCTATATTCATGAATCTTACAATTTCTACTGGGTTCAGAAATAACTCTATTGGTTTTTCATTCGACTCCCTAACTTGCTACGCGGGGTTATATCTACCCCTGCAGCAGCTTTGTCTTCAATGTGGCATCTTCTTACTGTACCATTCGCCACTAACCTCCACCACACCCCAAACAGCACACTCCATTTCCTAGAACTGATCTTCATAAGGATAAGAGTTAATGTCTACCTTCTCATTCTCGCCTAATCTTGCAGCTTCATGATCATCCTGCCACCACACAACCTTATTCTGTTTCTCAGATGCTTCATCATTCTAGTCCTGGGTCTTGTTTCCATAAAATCTATGCTTCATGGCCATGCTTCCTAATCCATTTATTCACAAATTCATTCACTCAAGAACATTTATTGATCATTTTTACTATACCTGATATATTCTAAAAAAAATAAAGTTGGTCCTTACCCACTTGCCATTCTCATCTGTATAATAAGGTCAGAAACAATCGTTAAATTGATACAGGGTAGATAAGTGCTACTCCTGCCACGTTAGACTTGACCCTGGTTAGTTTTTCATGTGACATCTTGTACAAGTATAGTATTGTACTTGTGGGTAAAAGTGTCAACCCAGGAGTCTGTGGCTGTCGGTGTGCATTCTCTCTCCATCTGTTTTCACACTGTTATTTTTCCTCCATCTCCATACTCTCTTGTCCTAGCTCTCTGCTCGTGCCTCTTGCTACTTTTCACAACCTAGCCATTATGTGACTTACCTCAATCTCTAAATATTGAAGAAACACCTGTTGGCATCTTGGTGCACATCGTTTATTATGCCAACTAGGAGGTATTTGTATTTCCCTTCCAACTCTGCTTCCCCTGGGATGGATACTAATATGAAGACTTAATAGACTCCAGAGACCTTTCCTCAATCTTTTTCTTTTGATACGGAGACAACAGGCAAGACTTTATTAATCCCTTACATTTCACATTATTCCCATACATTTCATTACATTTAATTCCTCTTAACACTTGCACAGTGTGTGATTTAATAATTCATACATAAAATTCCTGAACTGAAGCACAACTGGGACTTTGTCCTTAGCTCATTCCATCTGCTGCAGTTCTTTCTCCTCCCTGTCCTTCTAAGCTTCTCTTGCTCTCTTTCCCCCCCCACCCCATTATTTTCCCTATTTATAAAAATACCATTTCTTATTTTAAAGATTCCTTGATATGGATTTGAATGAATGGGGCACATTATTCTAAGTCCCTCAAATGCTTCTACATTCAGTCTCTGTTCAAACATCTCCTCAGAGTGGTATACCCTGAGCACTATCCAAAGTATTATTTTTCCCAATTATGTCCTTTCTATTAACCCACGTCATTTTCTTCATAGTATTTATATTCCCCTAAAATGATATTTTTTTCTTATTCTTGTAAAAATATTAGCTCTATAATGCAGATGCTATAACAAATTTTTTTCATTAGTTTATCCCCAGTGCTAGAACTGTATTGAAATAAAGTAGTGGGGACTCCCTGGTGGCACAAGGGGTTAAGACCAGTGAAGCTGTCTGCAGCCTCTGAAGCATGAGTTCAATCCCCAGCCAGCCGGGGAGCAACCCACATGGTGCAGCAGACCTCTCCTGTCTCGCCCACTGCTCCCCTCAGCATTGTACTTTGGTCAGTCTGCCTGTTCTGTTCCCCACTCTGGTGAATCCTCTCATCCCCCACGCCTCTGGTCTGTACCCCAGCTCTTGTATGCATAAATAAATAAGTCTTTTTTAAAAAAAGAAATGAAGTGGTGGTTTAATTATACCACTCAAATGAACTAATTAAGAGAAATTCAAAAGAGAGTGCTTATACCCACTGGAGTACATATTTTAGCTTTTGATCTTTTCTACGTGACTTCTAATGAGTCATCTTCTCTTATAGCTCAATATAAATGGTTCCTTCAAATAGCTTTTTTGTTCACTTTCTTCATTTATCTTGCATATCACAAGATTAATCACTCATCCCTTCTTGGCAAGGTGACTATATTTCCATTTTATCTCTATATCAGTAGAGTCATATTTCTCCATCTATTTCACTAATGACACATAAAATATTCAGATAGTGTTTGTTCCTTGAAAATTTGTGTGATGCAAATGTAGTTACACCAAGGAAAGAATACATCTTTAAATGTATACATGTGGAAAGAATAAACGCTGAAAATAAGTTAGCCATTTTAATCAATCAAAAAAATAAAAATTCAAAGGGAAATAATAACAAAGAAATAAGTAGAAAATATCAAAGTGGCACACAAATAAAAGAGACAATTTCAACAAAGAAGAGGTCTTCTGAAAGACCACCAAACTGAAAAACTTTTAGCCATAAGAATGCTATAAAAAGCAGCACTGTTTACAATAGTTAAGCTTTGGAAACAACCCAAATTGCCCAAAAATAGATGACTGGATCAAGAAGATGTGGTACCTATATACCATGGAATATTACTCAGCATTCAAAAAAGATAAACACATGCAATTTGCAGCAGCATGGATGGCACTGGAAGGGATCATGCTCAGCAAAATAAGCCAGAAAGAAAAAGAAAAATACCGGATGGTCTCACTCATAGCAGGAATCTAGAAAACTTAAATAAGGGACCAGGAAAATGAATAACTATAAGAAAGTGAAAATCAAAATCAACAAACAACTATGAACCAGAGACACTCTATGGGGGGTAGGGTGTGGGGAGGGGAGGGATTGGGGTCAAAATAAGGGGGTTGCAATTGTATGGGGAATATAAAAATAAAATTTATTAAAAAAAAGAATGCTATAAAAGGAGAAACAGAAAATTAGATAAATCAAGTATTATAATGATAAAAGATTATTATCAATAATTTTACATAATTTCAATATAAAATTAAAAAGTTTCTAGAGAAGACTCACTAAAAAGACAAAAAGTAGGTGAATCATATAGTAATTGTGGTATTTTAAAAAATTGGCTATATTTTAAAAATTTTCTAAAGAAAAATACATAACAATGTACAGTCACTTTCTCATTCTGCCAAACAAATTAAGGGAAGAAATTTAAAATCAAACCTACAAAAGCTTCTAGAATACAACCATGAGAACTGTACAACACTTATATCAAAACTTGAAATGCATGTTAAAGGAGAGGAAAATTACAAGAAAGTCACTTTGAAGAGTATAGATACAAAAATTCTGATAAAAATGTTAGCAAGTTGAATCTAGTAATATTAAATAATATTTTATAAAAAAATGTTTTACTCCAGGAATGCAAGTTTAGATAATATTCATAATCGTTGAAAGCAATTTGGCAAATAAGATAATAAAGGAAAATTTCAGAGTTATCTCAATATATTTAGAGAAAATATTTGATAAAATTCAATATCAAACTATTAAAAAAAAGGAGTAAACAGAACTTGATTGATGTGATACAGAGTCCTTAAAACAACTGCAGGAGTCACCACATTTAATTAGTATTAATATTTTTAGTTTAGGACAAACCATAGTCCCCAAATCACTTCTATTCCCACTGGCGCTGAACACCATAAAAAAGACAAAAGGAAATAATGTTGAAAGTACAAGATATAAAAATTTGAAATGTAGGTTAATGCTGTTATTTTTCACTGTAGAGGTAATTCAGTATGTATTTTTCAAATTTTCCATAAATTATTAGAACAAAGAAATTTCTATATGAAGATCAATATGCAAAGTAGTTCATTGTATTTTCACATACCAGCAACAAATACAGAACAAAAATATTACCTTAATTAAAAATAAATAAATAAATAAATAAATAAATAAAAGACCAGTACTAACTGCAAAGATCACAAAAAAGTCTAAAAGTACTAAATTTGCAATACCATAAAAATTCAGTTATTTAAAAATAAAATGTAAAAATATACAAGAACTCTGCACAAAGTACAGTACATCACTAAGATCTTTAAAGAAAATAAAATAAATGTAGAAAGATTTAACATGTTCATGAACTGTGTCAATATTATAAAAATATCAGATTTATCAATGGATTTGAAACAACCTCGACCAAATTCTCAGAAAGTTCTGTGTGTATGCTATCAACCTGATCCTCATATAATTCTATTCCATTCTACTACATATGAATTCAAAAAGCCACAGAAATCTACAGATACCATTGAAACAGCAAAAAGGATGAACATTGCTGAGGA